CTATTTAAGAGGTTTATTACAAATCACACACAAACAGTTTGCAAGAAATCATTGTAGTATTAAGACAGAAACACATTTTTAAATTCAAAAATATTCAAAATGAAGGTTTACTATTGGAAAACTTTTATATTTCACATGTCGCCCATGATAGCACTATATAAATTAAAAAAATTTACGACACGGGTAGGTCTTGAACTGGCATCCAAGGGGTTCCGTGCTGTGGCTCTACCCAATTAATTGTCAATGTAATTTCAACTTTAACACATGATAAGTTGCGCGAAAGCTGTATATATCGATAGGTTGAAAAAAATAGGTTTTTTACAATTCGGTAGCTCTATCAACAGAATGGAGCTGTGGACCCCGGTTCAAGTCCTGCTCGTGTCGTAATTTCTTTTTAAATTTATAATTGGTTTTGAATTTTTAACTTTATGTATTAAAAACTAAGATAATATTACTACATGTTTTAATCATTAATTTAATTTAATTATAATCGATACCATCGCTAGAATTATTATCACATCTTGTGCAGTCATTGAAAAAAATATGGTTTAAACGTTTCAGCGACTCCATGCCAGCCTTGTGCTGCAGTCTATAGGTTGCCAGGTGCCACACCGCACGAATAAGCCCACGTTGCTTTTCTCGCGCCAAATTGGCCGTGTTGCGATGTGCACTACTAAGGGTTCGATTCACGTGCAAAATCCCTTCGCTAACCCCTTTTCACGTTTAATAAGCCGCAATAACACCTATTTTAAAAACATATGGGGATCGATTTAATTGCTGTATCTACAAACTTTTGAGGAGCGAAACTAAGTCAGTGCCCCAACAACTGTGTAGGGTGTGACACGTGTAATGATTATTTTATTAGTATTTGTTTAAATAATAATACTACGATGTTAATACGGACGTGTAGGGACGATTTAATTAATCTTGAATATTGTACAAAAGTATGCATGATGTAGCAGGACTGTAAAAGCCTCAGTTAGTTTGAATACATTTGTAATTTTTTTTGTTAAAATATCACGGTCGATATATATTTTTTAAGCAACTATAAATTATTATTTTTTTACCTGAAAGACTTATCATAAAATTTAACAAAATATTAGAATATCTATTATTCACACACCCGATTAGCCAAAGCATCACGACCGGCAAACACGGAATAGTTACGTCGCAACTATATAATTAAGTTTTTGTCGATATTGTACTGCACCTAATGATTGTGATGTGCCAACGATGATTACCTGTAACAAAAACATGTCATTATAATTTCGTAACAACTACCTACTAGGATGTACTGCCTTTGCTAAATACAATCGACCATACAGAGATTCCGACAAAGGCCAATATTTAGTTGTTTGATAAAACGACACAAATATAACTAAAATAATACATTTTGATTCTTAAGTCAACTTCTTTTACTTGTCAAAATATTACCTAAATTCATCATATTATAGTTCTTATGATTTTTGCGAATTCATTTAATTTATTAACACTTTATTGCACAAAAGGAAAGAAAAAATACAAACGAGACATATATATTAAAAATTTGGAGTGCAATGGGCGGCCTTATCGCTAACTAGCGATCTATTACGGGCAACCCAAGATGGAAGAACAGAAAGTTCAGGGCTTTAGCTTATTACAAATGACCACTCATTAGTATAAGTATTTCACTTAAAAATGGCAGCAACTCACGACCTAGATCTTCAGTATGTAATTACTACCACATGAGGTCAAAAGCACCTGTCAATATTGCCTCCAAAAGCAGTAGCGAACAATGAAGCATCGTCGGAGGCAGTTGAGCGCTAAGGAATGATCAGCCGCGTGGAAATGACGACTTAATGGATTATACGTGTCTCGCGACATCGAGATAAGTGTCGCCGGAGATTAGGAACCGAAATTATAAAAATTAATAACATAATGGAAATCGACTACGGAATCGTTTTACGCGTCGATGGCCGCGCGATAAGGGAACTGAGAACTAAATGTGACAGTAATAAGTGATTCGAGTGGAATCGATTTCGAAAGATCGAGAGATACTTATTAAATGTATGCGTAATGAGTTCTTAAATGGAATTACAATTAGTTGTACGCTTGCAGTAGTAAAAGAAATGTTTAGCATTAAACCGTTTTTTAACTATGTAAAAACATATAACAAGTCAATATTATCCAATAAATTTTCAAAGAATTATAATCAGAATTCAAACCTCCACACGTACTACGTGCTTATCGTATGTAAGTTTACAAGCCGATTTGATTTTACATAATAAACAATACTATCTATAAATATTTACTGACGTGGTAGGTAGTATTTATATTATATCTATTTCCCTTCATATTTGTCCTTTTTAAAACTGCTGATTGAATATATGCAACGTACACGGTTATATTTTTTATTTTATATACTAATAGTGAGATGAATCACTGGCTTGTAACGTATCTGTTTTCAGAGCAAACCGCTCATTCACACACTATTTTTATCACATACTACGTGTAAAAAAAGAGTAAAGTGAGACGTTTCTATTTTCGAACCTAATTATCAGAGTACCGCACCTAACAACTGTTACCGCTGGTCGGAGCAATTGACAGCAACACTCGAAATAGTAATTCTCCATAGAATTCTCGAGTGTTTCATGAATCATAAAGGCGTCTGACCCACATCGCGCTACGCCCTGACAGTTGCGTGACGACACATAGCGCTGTAAATTGAAATCGGACATTGTTATAACGAGCCACAAATAGCAGGCCAACGCACATTAAACGGTCCCACAATGGCCAACGATTTACCGGCAATCTATGGTCCATTCTATTTTTATAGACCGTCTCTCCGAGCCTTCGCGCGACAAAAAGTCGAGGGATCACCCGCTGCTCCATTGTAACAGAGGCGCGACCTGGACAAACGACCCGTGGGATACGTGATATATCGAGACGGAGCTGAGGCCGCAGCCGTTACAAAAGCATTCGCGATGTTTACACAAAGGTAAGAAAGCGGGGCCGGTGCTGCGATTGCAAATTTTCCGCTTCTCGCGTGTCAAAGGAGATAATTTATAGCAATTGAGATATAGAGGGTGCCCCGAGTGCGGCAACACTCGCATAAATAGCGCCTCCCTATCATCTCGACACTACGTGAAGTTATGATCTAGACCATTTATTACGATGTTAAGCATATTGCGCCTTATAAGAGTATTGATGTGCGCAATAAACAAGATTTTGATCGTCGTTTAACAGAAGTCGTTATTTACAGCAGAAATGTCGCAATTTGTTATTAGTGGGTCATAAAGGCGCAAATAAAGTTACTTATAGAAACTAACGTCGTTAAAATAATATGTGAGCTTTGATTAATAATCATAATTAAATTACATACTTTACAAACAATTATGGAGCAGTGTTTGACTCATAATTATTGTGGAATCCAAGATATAATAAGCATAATAACCTTGGTTATAGAAAAAGCTGCTATAACAGTTTAGGGCGCGCGGAATCACATCTCAATTTTTTGCGCATCGCCCGTGAATAGCCATCTATTACCAAAGAGCGAGACGAGACACAATAGACGCATAATATGCAAGTTCTGGCAGTTCGCATCTTGAGGGTTATTAATGATGCCTCTCCAGAAACACGTTGCTGCTTTGTGAAGAACAAAACTATAATAACACCTTTTCACTGATGCGTATAAATCACAATCGCTTAAAAAAATTACCACATTTCCCTAAACGAAACCGTTCTACAAATTGTATCCTTCACAAAACACATAATGCCTGAGAAGTTTAATTTGATGATGGGTTCAGAGGAGGCTTGCGGGGAATCAGAACGAAATCATTTAACTAAAATAGTCCTCGATTACGATCGAAATTCTTCGGAAATGCAATTTATATGAAATACAGTAGGTAAGGAATATAGCATGCAGACGTTTTGCGTGCAGAGGAAATTCCATATTTATGCTGTAGTAGCTTGGGAATGAATTAAAATAATTATCCTATAGCCTCGAGAGCTCGACAAGAAATATGCATCCAAATATATAAAGTCGCTCTATAATTATTATTGAAGAGCGAAATAAAAAGTTCACAAGATAAGTAGGGTCTTTTTGCGTGGAATATAGCTTTCCTTATATGGGGAATGTAGAGTCTACCACGGTTTACCGTTACGCATTATTTCCAACGCGACGATAATATATTAACTAGTTTCTGATAACAACAAATGCTCAACGCGCTCGAGTACCTATAATTAGATAGACATTATTTTTTTATTTGTTGAACAAAACGAAGCACCTTTTGTATTTTAACAATATGACTGAAACGTCAAATCATTGTCATTACAAGCGTAATAGTAATTTTCATTACATACAATGAGTAAACAAAATATCAGCGATCATGAATTGTTCATATCACAATAATTCCATTCGCAAAGTGTTAACAAGCGGCAACCGCGGCAGTGCGCCCGCGCACTACCTGGGCAGCTGGCTCGGTCCCCCACCAAGCGGTTAACTCTCGTCGCAGCCATCCATCTGTCTCGCTCCGACCTACTCACCGAAAGCTTGTTCGAGCATTACAAAAAGCGGTTTAGTCTCTTAGTGTTGCGTATCGTGCTTTTATGTGTGCGTAGAGTATTTTTCTGGCAGTGCCGAGTCAAAGTAGTTAGGACGTAACTTAAAGCTGCTCGTATGGCGTTTAGAGCATTTCGATCCTAGGCAAAGCTTTACCTGTCGGAACGCGTGAACCGTCGCGGCCTTGTGCGCGAGCGCAGCGCAGGTTCGAGTCAGAGCCAGTCCCACCCTAGTCCTCAACGTGGACGCACGCGTGTACCACACTGTTGCGCAGCGGACTTACGATCTTGTCCAATTAGTGCTTTCGCGGAACAAGAGTGACGGGTTTCGATCGTGAAGTAGTTCAGTTGGAAGTCGATGCGATATGAACTTGCCGCTAGGGTTATGTAATGTGCAGTCGTAGTGCAATGGAATGCAAATAATACTATGTTCGAGTTAAAGTGAAGTTAATGAAAAAACAATGTGTGTAATGTGGTTCACGAGCGCCGTATTGGCGCTGAGTGCCGTTCTACCGGCTTGGAGTGCATCTCTTTCGATGACGGGGGCTCGTTACCAGGCCCCCGACGAGTGCAGGTGGACCACCGACGAGGATGACGCCGGAGTGGCGTTACAATGCCGACTTAGGACTATCAATAGTGAACTAGAAAACACAAATTTTAGCGCCATTCAACCTCATCTCACCGTAAGACTGCGGCTAGAATGCAGCGATGCACTATTTTTTCAAAGTTCCCTGGCGCCAGCGAGTTTTCGACAGCTAGTGGAGTTAAGGGAGCTCACAATAGAATACTGCAAAATAGGAAACCTCTCTGATGGCGCTTTCACCGGCCTCAGGGAACTTCGCAACTTGACAATACGAACGCACAATACGGACTGGTCTACTATGTCCCTCGAAGTCACACCCACTGCCTTCTCGAGAGACGTGCAAAACTTAGAGCGATTAGATCTCAGTGAAAACAACATGTTGACGTTTCCCGATGGAGCGTTGTGTACGCTCAGGAACCTCGAGTACTTAAATATGACTGGAAATAGAATGAGAGACGTTAGCCATTTTCAGTTTTCAAGTGCGCATCGCCACCCTACAGAAAAGTGCGGCGACAACCTCATTGTGTTGGATTTATCGAGAAATCTAATTGACACTTTACCACCAGGACTTTTATCTGGATTAAAAAGGCTGCAAAAATTGTATATTCAAGGAAATGGATTAACATCAGTGGCAGATAGGGCCCTCGAGGGGCTCGTGTCTCTGACGACGGTTAGATTCTCTGATAATCAGCTGGCGAGCCTTCCGCCGGAATTATTCAGCGACACGAAAGAATTAAAGGAGATATATTTAAACAATAACACGATTACGGTCCTCGCTCCGGGATTATTTAGCGATTTATTCCAACTTCTAGTCTTAGACTTATCCCACAACGAATTAACCTCGGATTGGATTAACACGTCTACATTTTCCGGATTAAAACGACTCGTTTTTTTAGACTTCTCACACAATAGAGTTTCGAAGATGGAAATAGCTCTGTTTAGGGATTTACACAATTTGCAAATTCTAAAAATGCAAGATAACTTCGTGGAACACATTCCCGAGAACGTGTTCAGCTCGCTCGGCAATTTGCATACGCTAATATTATCAAACAACCGATTGACAAACATCGAGAGTTACTCGTTCAGTGGGCTGTCCGCATTATCCGTCTTGTCGATAGACAGCAACCGAATAACAAAAATACACCCGCACGCCTTACGCAACTGCACGTCCCTACAAGATTTGCATATAAATGGAAATAGACTGGACGATGTTCCCATCGCACTCAAAGAAATCCCACAGCTTAAAACTTTAGACTTGGGAGAGAACTTAATAGTGAGCATTGAAAACGCATCTTTTATGACCATGCAACAGATGTACGGTTTGCGCTTAACGGAAAATAATATTGGAAATATCAGCAAAGGCGTGTTCGACAAAATGACTTCCTTGAAGATTCTCAATTTATCTAGAAATAAAATCCACAAAATTGAGGCTGGCGCTTTCGACGGAAACGTGAATCTTCAGGCAATAAGACTAGATGGGAATTACTTGACCGACATCGGCGGTCTTTTCGCAAAGTTACCTAATTTGGTATGGCTGAACATTTCCGATAATCGCCTCGAATGGTTCGACTACGCTATGATTCCGACCGGATTGCAGTGGCTGGACATTCACGCCAACAGGATCGCTGAACTTGGAAATTACTTCGAGATTGAATCACAACTGTCGCTCAGTACCTTTGACGCGAGCTCTAATCGCCTGACTGAAATAACCGGAAGTGCAATACCAAACTCTGTCGAAATGCTATATTTGAATGACAATCTGATATCTAAAGTCCAATCGTACACATTCTTCAAGAAACCCAATTTAACGAGAGTCGATTTATACGGCAATAAAATAACGAGTTTAGACCCGAACTCTTTGAGAATATCCGCAGTGCCTCAAGATAAATCGGTGCCCGAGTTCTTCATAGGCGGAAATCCATTAGAATGTGATTGTACCATGGAATGGCTACAAAAAATAAACACAGGAAACAGAGCGCGAACGCAACCCAAACTAATGGACTTGGACAGCATTTATTGTAAACTGTTGTACAACCGCGGCAACTCATATGTGCCGCTGGTGGAGGCCGCGTCGCACCAGTTTTTGTGTAAATACGAGTTCCATTGCTTCGCCCTGTGCCACTGCTGCGATTTCGACGCCTGCGATTGCGAAATGACCTGCCCCAACAACTGCACTTGTTACCACGATCAGTCGTGGTCGGCGAACGTCGTGGAATGCACTAACGCGGGCTATGTGAACTCTTTACCCGATCGCATACCGATGGAGGCCACACAACTGTATCTCGACGGTAATGACATAAAAATGCTGCCAAGTCATGCGTTCATCGGCAGAAAGAGGCTAAAAGTTCTGTACTTGAACTCGTCTAATATAGAAACAATACATAATCGTACGTTCAACGGATTGAAAGAGTTAGAAATACTGCATCTGGATTATAACAACTTATCGGCGATCGAGGGGCAGGAGTTCGACGGTTTAGATAACTTGCGCGAGTTATATATAAACAATAACAAAATCAAAAGTATCGGAAAAGAAATGTTCAACCATATGGCCCGCTTGAAAGTTCTACATCTGCACAACAATAGACTGGTGACGTTAACTGTGTGGCAAATCAACCCCGCGATTACCTCTATAACTCTCTCTTACAACCCGTGGTCGTGTGACTGTGAATATACAGAAATGTTTCGCGAGTGGACGAAGCGAGTGACATCGATAACGGACGTATCCAACCTAAGATGTATCTATTCACGTAACGATACTAATGTGACAGAATACAGCGATGCTATGTTTAGTGATTCGAACTCTGGTTTCAACATAATCGAAGAAAACGGTACCATATGCACAGGGCTTCCGAGCATAAACAACAGTGTAAACGGAAATCTAACCGCGACCAAAACAATAATTACAAACGAAGATGTGCAAGACTACATTCCGTTACTAGTGTCGACGCTCGGTGCATTTTTAGTGGTTCTATTCGCCGTCATGATAGTGTTCATATTTAGGCAAGAGATGAGAGTGTGGTTCCACTCTAGGTTCGGTGTGAGATTATTTTACAAGGCGAGTGAGGTGGATAGAGACGATAGAGAGAAATTTTACGACGCGTTCGTGAGTTATAGTTCTAAAGATGAAGCCTGGGTCACGGAAAAGCTCGCGCCGATGCTGGAGCGAGGCGACCCCGCCTACAAACTGTATCTGCATTACCGAGACTTCCCCGTCGGCGGATACGTGGCCGACAACATAATACAGGCCGTCGAGTCATCTCGACGCACCATCATGATTCTCAGTGAAAACTTCATCAAGTCCGAGTGGTGTCGCTTCGAGTTCAAGTCGGCGCACCATCAAGTGTTGCGCGACAGAAGGCGTAGACTAATAGTGATATTATTAGGTGAAGTGCCGCAGAAGGATCTCGATCCTGATATAAGACTGTACCTTAAGACTAATACGCATATACAATGGGGTGATAAACAGTTCTGGGAGAAGTTGAGGTTCGCGCTGCCGGACGCGCACGGTAAGGGACGATGTCGAGGCATGCCTAGTCCCAATACCAGCGCTATGGCCATGCATCGGCACCACCACCCGAGGAGCCATTTGGGCGCGTTGCCACCGCCACCCGTACACGGGGCTCACCCCGTGTTACCTCCGCATCCGTCTCACCCTGCCCACCAGTTGCCCGCCCGATCGTCGCCGAGAAACCTCTCCGTCCATGTGTAGTGAGTGAACAGTGAACAGACGGTTAAGTTCCGTGAGTGGCAGTGTACATTGTGATGGCTAGTCCGATAGCGTACGTATTGTAAATATTGACCATAGTTATAACTTGTAAGTCTAGTATGTACATAGCTTCCTTTTAAAGCGCTCAAAACCCACTGGAACTTTTGTAAACCGTAATATTGTTGATGTAGAAGCATAATGTATTATGAACGTTAGTTGGCGTGTTGAAATCACGCGTAGACTAGGCCTATTTAGGCTGTGCTTATCAGGCATACCTTGCCCGTTACTATTAGAACGACTTAATGGGGCAACGCTGCCCGAATCTGTGATAAATTTAGATATAGTTAGTTAGGTGTCATTAATTGTCCCATCAATGTATATTTTTGTAATTTAGACCTCTAAAAGTATTTATTGTAAAATTCAAATTTTTATCGAAAAGTGATACAGAAGCAAAATAAAACAAAAATGAAAGTTTTTCAATAGTTTTCTTTCATGAGATCATATCCCTTATTAATTCATGATACAATACAACGAATACATGTTAAGGTACGAAATTATAACAATAAGATTGCCAATACACAGTAAAAAAGTAACTATTAAAATATGAAATCTAACCGACTACATTGATAGTATATATTCAGTCATAGAATATAATCAGTTAACTAACAAAGTCACAATCCAACTAGAATGAAAGGTTTTATTAAAGAAGTTATTCTCGTAAGTTTGTCATATATAAACGACAATTTATTTATTATGCATTCGTTAACATATAACAAACACACAACAAGACAGGTAACAAAGATACCATATAGTTCATTATTCTAATATTCTTATATTTAAAAGCATTCTGACATGTTAACAGCCAAAATACAATTAAGCACAAAAAACACTCGAGCAATTACAAAAGTAGCGGCGCACAAAAGCCGCCTTCGCAAATTCACACTAACAAGATAATTACAATGTAGACTGTAAAATCTCATGTTTATTCATCTCACTACCGATAAAAGACGAAAAATTATTCGCCGCTTATTATGCGAGAGCACATTCCGATTGAGAACAGTCCAAGTATGAGAGCGGCCGAGGCGAGCGGAGTTATTCAAATGACCATCTCTCCGCGGCTAGGATATTGCATATCAGGTTTTTTGCTTGAAAAGCGTAAGGAGCTAGCGGCCGTCGACCGCTGCCTTTCAATCTGTGGTAATAAGCCTTCGCCCGCAGCCCTAAGTAGGTGTGAAACAACCTGAGACGCGGGAACAAAAGGATCGCGACCGCTTTCGTTCTCGCGACCGCGTTTATGACTCGAACTGCCTGTGTCTTGTAAGACTGTATTAGGAAAATGTTTAGAGTTATATTTTCCAATTAAGAAAAAGATTCTAATGAAATTTACGACTATATCTTTCCAAACTATAATTTTCCAAATTCAAATCTCAAATTCGAAATTATCAGTTTTCAAATTTGAATAATCCATGCTTTTGTTAGGCAATATGTTAATTGTATATAGATTATTTTGATGTACAATGACGTCACTACATAGTTATAACGCGTGTTTGATATTATTTATCGTGTTCGCATCTTGTCGAGGGTAACGATCCCGCTGGCCACTAAGCTAGCTGCGGTCAGCGAGACCAAATGCGTTTGAGCTCACGTAAGATGCTCAATTGTTTGTACCGTTTTCGCGCTTCAATATCACGTAGGACCAGTTATAAATTCAATCACTTGTGGAACAGGAACCCTACTGTAGCCTAATTCAAAAGCCCTGCTTACTAAAATTAAAATAAAAATTAGTAAGGAAAGATATTAGCTACGTATGTACCCACATAAGAAAAAGAAATGCCATAGTAATATTAATATATGACCTGTCTAAATGATTTTTTAACTATTTCGACGACAAAGTGAACATCTCAACATTGAGTATTTGTCGCGATAAAACATTAAACAAGTAAATAAGACAAACTACATACATACTATATTACTTATATAGTCATTGCGCCACTCTGTAAAAATAGTTTTCAATTAACATCACTGCATCGACGCTTCTGATGAAGAATACGAAAGTACGCACAGAATAACTCAAATTACTGTATGCTATTGAAAAGTGCGCATAAAAAGAGAGAGCTTTGCCCGTGTAAACGTATTTGCGGCTGCATTACTGTTATTTGTTCACCTATTATTGTTTTACAATATGCGGCAAAACCGCATCGGAAACGCTGGAATGACTCGGGAGGTTTCTTTTATAGCAAAAAATTAATTTTCTCTTACATTGATATTCTATGAGTCGACTCTCGGTTTATTATGGCCGGTAACGTAATAGGTAATTTGTTTTAGTGCACAAGGGAGTATTAAAATACATTGTTGGCGAAGTCAATTGCGCATAGGCCTAGTGAATTGCGCTGGAAGCTATCATAAAAATCTATTATCGTTCGATTCTGTCAAACAAAATACAAAAATAAAACACTTTAACGGTTTAAGACGCGATATATATTGGTTTGCTTCACAGCAGCTGTGGTTACGGCTGGCCGTAGTTAAAATAAATTTAAAATAAGTTTAACTATAGATGTCGCGTGTCAAACCCGTAGTGTTTTATTTAAATGTGTATTCGCGTAAACAACAGATAGCAATTTTCACATATCTAACATAGAATTTTAGTTATGTGTAAAAGAGAATACAAGACAATAAGCATTTCGTATTTTCAAAATTGTATACGAACAAGGCACACGGTCTTGAGTGAAATTAAGTACGCTGTTAAAATAAATGACGTTACACACACTCGGCACAGTAAGACACGAAAAACGAAACAAATTCAATTAGTAAGCGCGTAAACATCTCGAAGCACCCCACAAATATTCGACATCACGACGCACCTTTCTCCTGCTGTCACCGATCATAAATATCTAACACGAAAACACGAAGGTAAAAAAAGACTTCTTACAGCACGCCGTGTACGATATTAATCAGGACTGTGGAGGAAGATGGGAGGTTTATAGGCAAAGGTTGGGAAGATGGACGCTTTAAGCAAAACAAAGCTAAGATTTGTGTTGCCTACTTTGTACCATTGATTTCTCCCCGACTCCTTATATCGTGAAACATTAACGTCAAATTAGAAGGAATTTATATATATATATATTTTTGTCGTTATATTCCTTCGTACACAAGTCCGACACACACTTGGCCGGTTTTTTATTGGTACAGGTTTAAGGCCCGGATCGATCGATCGATTTAACTCTAGAGATATCATAATCACCGGTTTGCGTTTATCAAAACGTATAATCGGTGCGGGGCAATAAATTTGTCTCATTTTAATAAGGTATAGCGTGTTTTGTTCTAACGTGAATGAGTTTGAACCGATAAGGAGCGACTATTCATTAACTTCGCCGAGACGAAAAGCTAGTATTTGCCATTTAAGTTGAGCTTCACAAGCTTCACACTATTTTACGTAACGTAAACAGTGTCATATGATAATAATAATAAAACACTTTATTGCATAAACAAATAAAATACAAATATAGTAAAACTAAATAAATTATTTACATAAAAGAGTCGGTGCAAAGGCGGCCTCATCGCCTATGGCGATTCCTTCAAGGAAACTTCTGTATAAAGAAAAGGAAAACAAAATAATAACAAATGAGTAAAAACCAACAAGAATGAGAGAGAAAATGCAATAGATTGTAAATTACAATGATATCAAATACTAACACAACCAAAAAAGTTAACACACTAAACAGTACAAACTTAAGGTTAAATTTCGATCTAACAAAGATGCAACATAATAAAGAATAAAAGTATAAGCCAATAATATCAACACTGAACAATACTTTCAAGAAAATGTTGTTTGACTTTGGCCTTGAAGGAGTTAAGACTTTGTGAGAACCTAATATACTTCATTTAAATAAAATATCGAATTTTATCTAAAACATAAATCAAACACAGTAAACGAATATTAAATTGAATCTTCGTTATAAATAAAACGTATTAAATTACGAAAACATAATTAGATAAATATAAGTTATTTCTGAGCATCGAAAATCGTCAGCTTACCGCCCGCGCAATATAAAAGACATCAACGCGCTCGGCGTGAATAACGTCCGAGAAGCATTTCCAATATTTATTGGCAGTGACGCCTAATCTGACAGCAATCCAATACTATCGACTTGTCTTCAACAAGGAACATAAATTATTCAAATAAAGTAGCAATTGAGCCTTAATATCCAGTTTATTCTGAACGCATAATATTGTCATGCTATGCCGTTATGCATTCTTCATATGTGGTTGGAGAATATTGACATAGATAAAATTTGAAATTATTGATATGTAAAAGGCACGCTATGAATGAGTATAATTATATATCGGAATGTTAAATTAACTATTTTGAACGGTGATATATGTTAACCTTAATGTTATAATTATTATATAATAAAAAGCTTGAAGTTGAAGTTTTTGTCAGATATTGCGCAACTTGCTTTAAATTATAATAATTTGATAATTATAGGCACACAGGCTCTTATCATTAAATTAGTAGCAATAATCTCTTGTTTCTAGGTCTGGGACGTACAGTTTCAATAAATATTATGTGTTTTAACCCTAGCAGCCACTTGTAAGAAAGAAAGTAAACTATTTTTATTTATTATTAAAGTACATAGCTGAAAAACTTAACAATTCATTTTAACTTAAAAACTTAATTACCAATAGGTTCAGGAAGGGTTTGATATGGCGAAAAATGCCTCGCTATGAGCTAAGTATTGCACACGGCACTACACTGGTAAACCCTAAGCTGTTGACGTTTTATGTCTGAATTTGAAATTTTGAAAACGGACAAGAAATAATATCAAGATGTCAAATTAGTATTTAATCGAGGCCTTTCGCTTTACATCTAAATTCAGGTAAAGAAAAGACTATATCTAAATACTGTCTATAGTTTACGCGAGTAGTACACATTTAAATAAAACACTTTAACTAAATAGACTATATCTATTTTCAATTTAAACAATTCACATAAGTAACAATGTTTTGTATATTTCAACGCCGTCAAATGGAACTATTACTTACACCATGCTTTTGTTATTCAACCACACAATACAGACCTCATAAGAACCTTGAGGTTCATTAATCTCGTTCAATATTGAAGTGTTCTCCTCGAATACCGAGTAACACGTTAATTACACTCGCTCATGGTGAAAAAAATGTAGTGCTTTTAAAGCGTCAGCGGCTAAATGAGGCACGATGGCACTCAAAAATAAATAGTCGTGTCGATCGCTTAATTACTTATCAAAACACTTCAATACTTAGAATAACAGATCATCCATCGTTTGAACGAGCGCAATCATAGCGGGATCTTAGCGAAACGAATTTTATTGACATACCACTTTGCTCGTGAGCTATGCGAGAGAATAGTAATGCAGATATTCTTGAAACAGGAATTGATCTTAAATGATTTTAAGTCTTCTTTCGTCTATAACCGAACTAAAATGTATATGCGATTCAGTATATTTAGTGTAATTGTATGTTTCGCAGTGATAAAAGTAATTAAGTATATATTATTGTTGATTAGCTGGAAACATGTTTTTACAATAACATCTGCAACTTATAAAGTAAATTAAAAACTATTCCAAATTCAATTGGAAAGTCTGACGCATATTTAAAATGCTCGAGAATCAAAATTAAACGGTCGCTTATTGGACTACAAGCGATTCTGTAATGGTTAGAAGTATTTAACGACGAGATAAAATCTCAACAAAAGCGATTTGGCTGGCCGTCTTGTTTTGGTATGTACACACATCGAACGTTCATATATCCGACATATGTTGACCTATGACGATCGAAGCTCTTTCTCCAGAAACCAGCTTTCAAGTGAGCACAGTTGAGTAGAAGAGGGCTCATCTTGAGATGGCTATACGGTAAATATATTGACCCCGAGTGTGAGCCTACGAGCGCGCGCTACGTCGGAATCTCGTCTATGATATGTAAATGATAATTGGTTTTCAAATGGAAAATTGTCCGTTTATGTTTCAGGTAATAATGGCCAAACAAAGTTTGTTGTGTGATTAGTATATCGGAACTGTTCAACAACGAAGAGTTTCGTTTCTATTAGAATATGATATTTGTTGAGCGCTGATATTTTTATGAAATTTCATATTTGTTGTTTATTATTACTATACAATCTTATGGAACTAACCTCTATTAAATAGATTCAAAATACTTGTCAATACAATAATCATATTTATAATAACTTAAGTTACTTTCAGTAATA